GAGGGTAACTAAAATCGGGCAAAGCGAATGAATGATGAGGCCATGTTCATACTCAACGTCTGTGCGAGAATCGAATGTCTGAAGAACAGGATAACTTGCGTAAGAGATCGGACGGGGTTCTATTCTCGAAGGAAATATAGACTCCAGGATAGGACACGTATGCACACCAAATAGAAAAGTTACCCGGTTCTGTAAATTTATTTAGCGAATTCTCGGATCCCCTTTGTCTCCCTAATGAATTCATTGCGCTTTTCACAGAATCCCCGATTTTTTTAACGCTGAGTATGAACGCGGTCTGAAAACGCGGTCAGGGTCTGAGCAAAACTGGCGGGATTGGTCATTTGGCAAAAGAATTAGGTACGTATTAATTGGTTGGTAGATGCACGAGAAGCCTAGTAGAAGCCAAATAGTCAATACATGTCTACTACTATTAATCCTTTAAAGATTCTTCGGTTTTCTTAAATGCCTCAGTCATCCATGGAGCAACTTGATTCGGATCCAATTTTCTTCGTGGATTCTCCAATCCCTCAGTGCGGTTATGAGTATGAACGGGTCATGATACGAATTTCTTAAGGGGTAGCGATGCTGCAATTATGTCATTTCTTTGACCCGTTTTTCCAGTGTCCAACTGTCCACCTCGTTATAGCCTGAACGCTCTAACAGTGACAGTGCAACGATATGAGCGGTGAGATTCTGATTTTTTTAGCTCTAGGATATTAGAACAAGAGCATACCTCTATAATGGCGTCGCGTTTCTCTAATTCTTTGTTCAGCATTGCAATCTCTTCTTTTAACTCTTTCACCTGCACTTTATTGTCAGGAGTACCATCGCAACACAGAACACTGTCATCAAATGACTGAAACAAACCACCTCCGTGAGCGGTACTTATGCTCATCGTTTTGGGAGAATCGGAATGATTACGGAGCGTTCATAGTTGACGATCGTGCGTGCGATTATGCGATTAGGCGGTGAAGACTCCACTCGTGTTAATTGATTTGCTCCCCCTATCGCCTACTCGCCTAATCGCCTATCGCCTACTCGCCTACTCGCCTATCGCCTACTCGCCTATCGCCTAATCGATTCGTATACTTTTCATTTTGAACCATCGCCTAATCGCACGTACGATCGCCAACTATGAACTCTTCATTAGTCTGATTCGGCTCCACTTAACCGGGAAATTGAGAAACGGAAAATCAATCAATTGGTATCTAACCCCTTTCGTGGATCCCATGATACTCTGTGGTTTTTTTTTGAGTGAAAACGTGTTCATCAATTTTTGCCTAGTCTTATTCTGAGACTGGCCCATTTTCCGGAAACAATGAGTGAGAACTCGGCCGAGAAGATTGTTTTCCGACGCTGTTTATCTTCACTAGGTATGAAAATGATAAGTTGCCAGCCATGATTTCGCCTTTTGGGTTGAGCAACAAATTTGACTTTCATGGGTTCCTCGCGCTGTCTCAGTGATTTTATACTGAGCTTGCGGCTGGCTAAGAAATGGTCACACTGGTGGCCTATAGCCCGAAATATAAACTCTGTTTAAGAGAACCAGAAGCGCGTGGAGTGCAGACCACACACCACAAGTGACGACGGCCTCTCAAAATTCATATGTTCTCTTTCAATACAATGATCCGCCTGTTGCAGTTGTATTCTTCAGTTGTCACTAATTACAACTCTCATTTACCAATTATCAGCTATCACTATGAATCACTAGTTACAAGATTTACTTGGAGGCCGTCGTCTGTGTGTATGTTCTGCACTCGACGCGCTTCTGGTTTTCTGAAGAAGAGGGTAACTCCCTTGACCCCTATGTGCTAGCAACGTAATCGCGCTACCTGACTGAGTTTCCAAGCTCTCCTCCACGAACTCTTTCTACTCGTTAAAGCATCGTTTCTTACAACTCCAATTCCCTTTTCATCAAAGCCAGTTCTCCTTCCAGTCTTTCATTCTTCTTCTGTACAGCAGCGTATCTTCTTTCGAAGGAGAGCAACGTTTGACGCACCTGCAAGTAGCACTTTTGTAGGGGTTCTATAGGGTCGGGTCTGAATCCAACAGGCTAGGACGCGCGCAGTCGCGTGTGGTACAGTCAATGGGCGGTATATCCCAAACGGTCCCAAAGATACGGCACGACTGCACGACCCCGGCGTTGTCCGTTCCAGGCCCAACTGCGCCAAACAGTTGTAGACCTCTTGTAGTTCATTCAAGGTTGCCTGCAGTTCTTCACTAGCATTTGCTTCAACATTATCTCCTTTCCCATTGGAAACATGCGAATTAAGTTGCTGAAACAATACATTCTGAACAAGTTGCAGAAGCTTATTATAGCTCTCTTTCAATGACCATGATTGTATGTCACAGGCGATGTTATGTATACTCGATATCCGGTGAGTTGGGGTAGGCGTGTCACCGGAAGTGACGTGCACTTGATAGAAGCTATGTGGATAAGCTGCTTCCAACATACATCGCTGGATATCAGCAAAGCATGCTGGCAACAGCTTATCCACGCAACTTCTATCAAGTGCACGTCACGGTGACACACCCACCCCAACTTTCGGATATCGACTGTACTCGGCGAACTGTAACATCTCACTAGAAGAAGTACCAAAAAGTAACCGAAGAGGAGCCTTTAAAAAAGTAAAAAAAAATGTTACCATGTCAATCAATCGTTGCAACATTTCTTTCAAACTTTTCATATCGTCGTTGGCCATTTCGTGTTCTCGTTTCTCGAGCTCTTGCACTCTTGTAGACACCGGCACGCTGCTATTGAGAGTGAATTGAGAGTGAAGAGTAAACAATCCCTAGTCAATTGTTTCATTTTTGTTTATTATGACCACA